CATTCATCATTGACCAATCAGAAACGCGATATTTTGTTGAGTATATAATAAGATTCTTTAATCTTAATAAAAGACTCCATTCTTTTGTCTGTTGTCCTGTTGTCTTAACCGGCTTTCGACCACGAGTTGTTTGTTAGTGGTAGGATGGCATGTTCTTTCTACGACATATTTGTAGGTATGCAGCTATCCCGTAAGGTGAATAACTAAAAGCGCTTTCCAGTAGCCGTTTGGTAAACGGCTTTCTCCCAGATCTTCACGGTCAATTGATTTCGTGGGCGTATCGAAATATCGAGCCAGACACCTTTAACGCATGCGTACTTGTCTTCAATTATTCTGTCAAAAATACTATTTACATTTCGAGCATGTCTAATCAGCACGACTTATTTAGTATGCGAGGAACTGTGAGAAATGTTAACTTGTAGAGGTGAGTCAGTGGAGTTATGGTTATCCTCCCACCTTTAGATTTTTAGTGCGAACATAGCTTACATACACGGATACACAGGATAGGTACGAGATGAGAGATGAATATACAAAAATGTTTCAGGGATGAGGCCTTCTGTGCCACTTGGCGCGAAGAAGTTATGTGAAGGTGAAGTTGCTACAATGAAACTTAATAATTGAAAGAAAATGTTAACTAACATACCTTGGTTTTTCAATCACTAATTTTAAGAGAAGGCTTTGGCTTTGGCTTGTGAAAATGTTTGTAAATAGATCTTAAATTTTAGAAAAAGGGAAAAGTCTCTGCTTAAACTCAAAGCCTAAATGCTGACTCCTAGGTTCAAGCTGGCAGTGTCCTAATACAAAGTTTTTTGAGCCACAGCATCCTTGTTTTATTCCTAAGTTAATTTTTGGCCTTTGCCAGTGGACTGCAAGAGTTATTGTTACAACAGCAAACAGAAACTGGCAAAAAGATGAGTCATCTTGGCAGTCCTGCTGATAAAAGATGTGACATCTTCACAACAGGAATACTGATTTGCTAAAGTAACAATGGAAACAGAATGTTATCTTGCATATGCCTAATTCTTCTATTCTTGATTACTTTCTTATTCTTCCTTTCTTTCCCAATATTTCAACTACAAGAAGGCTTAGGCTCAAATAAT